TCTCCAATGCTAAATAACTCTATTAATTCACACCTATCTCGATTTTATTTTCTCTTTATTTACTTTAATATTAAATTACATAATTAAAAAAATAAAAATAATAATAATAATAAATCGCTATTTAAAACATAAAAATCGCAACATTAATATTTAATTTTTTGTATTATAGAGTATCTTCAGACACGAGATTATTACTAGTATTATGCATATATATAGGGTTTTGGAAGTCCCATTTATTATCAATTTTTGAGGTGTAAAACAAAAATAGTTTCTTCTACTAAATCATTTCATGTTGTCTATATAACCATTTTCTTTTTTTTTTTTTTTTTTTTGGTGGGGGGGGGCAAAAAATCAATTCTTCCCTCTGTTTCACCTCTTATCTCTCCATAATTACCAATCTCAAAGTCATTGAGTCAACTAACTAATGTCTAAGGTAGGATAAGGGAGGAGAGAGAGTGTTAAATCCTGTTCACTGCTCAAGGTAGGATAAGGAAGGAGAGTGAGGCGTAAATCTGTGAATAACACGGAAGCTCCTCCTAAAGGGTGGAGAAGTAAACAAAGAAAATATTTGTGGGATATATTTCAACCATGGCTCAAGATAAATTATTCAAATACAATAATATTAATAACCATAGCTATCAACTTCATTCTAGTTGTTGTCATCGTGACAAAACATAGCTAGAAAATTAGGAAAATCTAGTCATTTGGAATCATGTTGAGTTGTGATATCCAAGTTGACAATAATAAATTAGTATGAAGAAAAGTACAAAAAGATTGTTGAAGAAAAATTATAGGTAGGAAATATACTTTCAAAATACCAAATGTATTTAGTTTGTCATTTGTGGTATAGCAGATGGCATGGGTAGGATCTTGATTCTATTACTATATTTTTCTTTAATATCAGTTAATTATAAATCACCTACCGTGTATGAGTAAAGAGTCTATTTATAAATAATGAATCCTTTTTAAATTAGAGGTAATAACTTACTATTAGATGAAATTGAGAGAAAGTGTAATAATACAAAATCCCACTCATGATAAATAGGAATCTTTCTAGTATATGTTACACTCTTTTGATAGTGGCAAAATAGGTGGACCATTAAACTCAGACGTCCTGAGTTCAAATTTTGATAATTATTTATCTCTCGTGAATATCCTATTCTTGGCGTTGATGATATGTTTTTGATCGTATCAGGGAGGAGATTAGTCGAGGTGCACATATACTAATCTCAAACACTCTTAACTGTTGAACAAAAAAAAAAAAAAGATAGGTGCCCCATTTATTGTTTGGGAACAAATGACACAAGGGGTTGATCAAGTAGCGAAATCCTAAGCGCTCGCTTAAGTTGGTTGAGACTTTGCCTAACCCTAATCCCATTGAGGGTTAATATTAGGATTAGGATCATCTGAGATTACCAGAATCGTCATGGGATCTTTTTCGAGACTTGAATATGTGACTATCTAACCTCTTAATAGCCACTTGTACCTATGATACCCTCCGTGGTCATTTAGGGCAATACCTATTTAATGTTGTTTTTTTGTTGATTCTGATGTCTTACTTTCATACAAAATAGTAAGAAGTCAATGAAAAGAGAGGAAATTAAGAAATTAACATTTTATATCTCATCATCTAGTTGAAGTTGAGTTGAGCAAAAACTCTTATTCTTTTGTTTTTCGTTCTAAACATTTTAAATTGGTGCCTCAAGATCTCTAGGATAGGCTATAAAAAGTTTTGTAGGGGCTGATGAATTTTTCTTCATAATATAATTTCTTTTCGTTTGCCCTTTTCTAGTTATAAACCCCAAACGTGAGAATTTGCTACGGCGACGCTTGCTCCCTGCCGATGTTCATGCTCTCTCTCTCTCTCTCTCTCATATGATGAAAGTCTTCTCAACTAACCAATAGAGGGATTCTAAAACATTCAGGTGCACAAGTTGAGAACATAAATAATATGAAGAAAGTGTTGCTTCAACGTAGAATATACCAAGAACCTCAGAAAAAAATATTTGAAAAGTTGTTAGGTCATGTGTCTTTAAGAAACTCTACTAGGTCAACTTAAAAGTTTTGATTCATTATTCTGATATTAATTATCTAGTGGTTCAATGTAGAATCAAAGCCATGATTTTAAATATGTTTAGGCTTACCAGATATTGATAGTCTCTCTCTCCTCCCTCCCTCCCCCCCCCCCCTTTTTCTTCCACGAGGATGTTAAAATATTAGTTGAGAAATCCATTGTTTCTAATTGGAATCATCCAACATATTATGGTTTTTTTCACAATTTGGGGTGGAGTCTAAGTCAAAATCAAATATGTATAACTTTTTTTTTGGTAAAACACTTTATTCCGATAAAAAAAAGATGTACAATGAAGTTCCATAGCCGCCTCAAAGCTACACTAAGTAAGCTCTAAAAAAATATTGGTCATGATGCATTATTTATTCATAGTCTAAAAGATAGACTTTTGTACAACAACTTCAAAATTGTCTCCAATATGAATTTCTTTTTTTACATAAGGGCACATGCTTTTGCGACGAAAAATTGTTTTTAGTATGACTTTGTAATTTCGCCTCCAATAAGAATGGGATTGGTGGAAAAGAAGTTGACAGAAATTATTTTGCAACACATTTTAGCGACTACTTGGTTATGTTATCACAAAAAATTTACTATATTCATTTGGTGACATATGTTATAAGTTGTCCCTAAAAATTGTTCCGACGAGTGAATAGTGATCCAAGATACTATAATCAACATCATCGCACATCAATCTGAAAATATTAAAATAAAACTCTTACTATTCAAAGAGAAACACGAAATTATACAAGCCATAATTTGCTTAAAGGAGCTTTAAATTCCCCACCTTGTGAGAGTGCTTCATTTGCTGAGCTCTCTCGAGTTCTCATGACAATATACCTTGCCAATCACTTATTTTCGCAATGTAATGCCTTATTATGGATTGTTTACTACATGACAGCAACGATGTAATATCACCAGAATAATGAACATTTATTCTTTAGGGTGGGAGTGGTTAGGAACAAAACTCTTTGCTTGTAACTAAACAAAAAAGTGGTATGTTAGTTAGCATACAAGACTTTTGCGTCTACCGAATTATATTCGCATGAGAGAGACTTTTTTTCGACTTGAACACTTAACATTCAAATCGCAATAAAATAATTTTATTATGAAGCCAAGATTTGCCCTCTCATTGTTAGTAAATTGAATGCATGAACACTAAGTATGCTCTAAATTTTAGTTAATCTCTGCCATGAAGAAATCGATGAATCAGAGATTAATATGATAATCATAAAGTAATTAGTAATATAAGATGAGATAATTTGAGTCTTCTAGAGGTTAACATGGGGGGTGGCAAAGAAGTCAATTAAAAAAAATCAGATTCTAATCATAAAGAGTGGAAAGTAGTGTGAGGCAGTGAAGGTCTTCCTGTTGACATTTTCAAGATCTGATCCCAAGGCGCGCTCTCTCTCTCTCTCTCTCTCTCGTTTTGGGATTTCGTATGGGGTTCATATTCCATAGGTAGATGATGTCAGAACAGAACTTTTTTAATTTATTTTATTATTTTTTAATTTATACTTAATCTCTACTGTAAAAATGAACCTTGTTTGTCTCCGCAATTTACTAAAATAATTAAACAAAACAAAGAAATAAAAGCTTGCAAATGGGCCACCCTCATGCACATACACACATAACCTCAATCTATTTCATGTTTAATGTCATTTGATTCAATTGTGGTTCTTTTACATGTCAATGTAGGAGTATGATTTTGATTGAGGTAATCAATTATGTACATTTATTACACCGTGTTTTTATTTTTATTTTCTTCCTGTTTGTTTTTATGTTAAAATATGACACAATTCTTTAACACAACATATACGATACGAAATTAGAAGGTTTGCGTCCTTTTTAAGCTATCCATTTTGTAAATGACTAGACCCGATAATACATGAATCATAAATAAATCAGGTATGAATAAAATCAATTAAAAGAAATACACGACACGACACTAACCCGATAAAATAACAATTTGTTAGACACGGATTAATAAACAAACTGGATATGAGTGAAATTTTTTTTACATAAACCTGTGAAGTCCCCACACAAATCCGTCCCTAGTTATATACGTTGAATGTTAAAGTTTGGCGCTGATCAAAATTTGAAATTTATAAAGGCTAATTTTTGTTTTCATACAAAGACAAAGTAAACAACAAGGATTTCCTTATGATATTTAGGATGCTGTTATAATAGAGTGTTAAATAGTTATAGGGCTTTAAAAGGCTACATACACATTAACTCGATACAGTTGATGTTGTTTTGGGCTGCTTTGTATTTTAAGAAAGTCCCCATTTTAAATGCAATAATGCTCCTTGTATTTAGTTTGAGATCCATTTTGGGTGTCACCAAACTCATATTAATCTAATAATGAAACGTATTATGATCTCGAATTAAGTCTTCAATCTAGTTCCCAATAACTAAAAGAACCATTTTTAATCTAATAATGAGTATATAATCGTTCTTCATATACTCACACTAAAAGAACCAATTCATAATAATATTGACCATCGATTACTTTTAATCCCGATGGTCAGTGCTTCAGCTTCACCTTTCATTTGGGGTCGTATACTAATCTTGTCAAAAACTGGGTATGTACATAGTTGTGGTTTCAACGTAAATTTGATCATCACAACCTGTTTAACGGTGTTTATTTCTTAATCTGATTATATATAGGTTAGATATATTGATATGGGAAAAAAAAAATTGGGTTGAGTAAAGATGCCAAAAGGAGAAGGCAAGAGCACTGATACATTCATATTATTCATTTAGCTTATATTACCGGCTCTAATTAAGGACCCAATTAAAGTCAAAACCTAGATGCGTGACATGCGTCTTGTCCAATTTTATACGTCTTTGAGACGAGGGAATTGACTTTGGTGCCTCAAAAGTATCATTCAGAGAGAGAGAGAGCGAGAGACAGAGACAGAGAGATTAGATGGGGAGATCAGAAGAAAGTGAAATGGAGATTGATCTGTCCCTGAAGCTTGATGCTCAAGAAGAAGCAAAAGAGGATGAGCAATTACAATCAGATGATCAAGTTTCTGAAGAACCCATTGAAGAAGAGAGTAAAGAAGGAAAATCTGAAGAAGTAGTAGATGATGCATCTGTAGCTTTATCCTCCCAAGAAAACGTGAAGAGAGAAGAGGTACTCACCACCCTCTCTCTCTCTCTCTCTGCCTCACACACAAAATATATATCACAAAATATATATCTTATATGTATTTGTAAGTGGGTGCATAGATGAAACCCATACTTCACCACCCTCTGCATCTCTCTCTCTCTATCTTGCTATCCGTATATGTATTCATAAAACTCTGTCTCTCTCTCTCTTGGCGCACGCGCATAGTGAATATATGCTTCTGTTCGACCAAACATCTCCCAACAGCCTGAACCTTTATGTGTGTTTTGGTGGATGAGTATGCCTGCACAGAGAGAGAGAGAGTGAGGGAAAGAGGTATTATGAGTTTATATATCAACACATGCTTTGCAGAGACTAATAAAACTATCATCGTGTATTAGTTATCTGTGTTACAGATGGAGATGAACCGTATGAAAGAGGAGAACAAGGTGTTGAGGAAGGTGGTAGAGCACACAATGAAAGATTTCTATGATCTGCAGATGAAATTTGCTGTTATTCAACAAAGTAAGCAAAAGAAGGTAAGCACCAATTGACTCTAATAAAAAATTTAATTATGTTTGGCCTCTAAACTTCTTATCAATTCAATTGCTCTCTCAATTTTTTCTGTGTTATAGGGTCCTAAAATTTTTCTCCCCCTCCATGGTTCTGACCATGAGAGAGAAGAAACAAAGAGAAGTCCAGAAAATTTAGAAGAAGACGATACTACAGACCATGAATTAGGGTTGTCTTTGAGGCTGCAAAGCAGTACAAGCCAACAAGAAAGAGAAGAAGGTCATAAAGAAGAGAACAAGGGAGATGTGGCAAGATTTGTACCTATGCAAGGTAAGATACACCAGAGCAATTTTTCGGGCATCACAAGCCATGTTGCTCCTTCTCCTGTCAATCGAAAAGCTAGGGTTTCAGTCCGGGCAAGATGTGAAGCAGCCACAGTGAGTTCAATTGAGCATTGTTGATTAGTTTTTATGAACTTTGATTTAGCTCAATGAGTTTATGGTTCAAAACTGATAAAGACCCTTATGTGTAGATGAATGATGGATGCCAATGGAGGAAATATGGCCAAAAAATTGCCAAAGGAAATCCTTGCCCGCGAGCCTATTATCGCTGCACAGTAGCTCCTGGATGCCCAGTTCGAAAACAGGTATAGTCTTTGGCTGTCCAAGTATTTAGTGTTGTAACTGAAATTTTCTCTTTCTTGGATTAAGTTATTCACAAAAAAAAAAAAGCATATGATGAAGTTCTACTTGTTTTAGGAGCATAGACTAGAGAGAATTTCATGCCACAAGCTCTATTCTTAATCTAAATGATACATCCTCTTACATCCTGCAGCAGAAGCGTTTTCTTTCTTTGATAAGTACAAAAAAAAATTTTGAGAAAACGAGACATACAATAAAGTTCAATACTCGTCTTAAGGCTACGCCTCTACGCTGAGCATGCCCTTAAAAGAGTTGCTTGGGACATTATCTGTAAGATACATCCTCTAACATCCAAAAGAACTTTGAAATAAACACTTGCATGCCTATAAAGTTCTCTCTCCCATTTGCCTCTTCTTTATTCTCTGACTTATCTTACTTCCATGGAAATAGGTGCAAAGATGCTTAGAAGACATGTCAATACTCATCACAACATATGAAGGAAACCATAATCATCCACTCCCTGTGGGTGCAACAGCCATGGCTTCAACAGCATCTGCGGCAGCATCTTTCATGTTAGTCGATTCAAGCAATCCTCTCTCAGATGGCATCTCCAATATCACCCACCACCCACCTTTCCCATACCAAAACCCCCATATAATAACCTCTCCTTCTCTATATACATCACCCTTTAGAACCATTAATAACCCTCATGATCCTTCTAAAGGAATAGTGCTTGATCTCACAAACAATGCCGGAAATAACCAACAATTTTCAATGGCTAGCTCCTCTCGTCCCTCTTCTCAACTTGGATTTTCTTGGCTGCCAAACAAACCCACCAGTCATAATGGCAATCCCAATATTGTCAACAATCTTTTTGCTGGTCCTAAACTAGTGGAGGAAATGGGGTGGAAAGGAGGAGAAAATAAGTCATTGGCTGAAAATGTGAGTGCAATTGCTTGTGATCCTAAGTTTAGGGTTGCAATCGCTGCCGCCATTTCCTCTCTCATTAATAAAGAAAACCAAACAACTCAGCCCACAGGGCATTCTTTAGCTCCTAGGGATGGGGAGAGTGGTGGGTCTAGTAGCAAAAATTGGGTGCTTCAATCTGAGTCTACAAGTGGTAAGCCTATTCCACATTCACCATGAACAAATTTGAAGCACATATAGATTGTTTAAAAGCAAAAGAAGATGTACCCGTAATGACAGAGTCTCGTGTACTGCATTCTCCTTTTTTAAAATATATGTGTAGACAATGTATCTCTTTTTTGTAATTTTTTTTCTCGATACCGAAAGAAACTTCAATATAGACTATGTGTTGGTGTCTAGTTTTTTATGGATCTCTGCCCGAGAACTATTATAGTGAGATTAAATATGATTTGCTTTATGGTGAGATAAGTATTTTTTACTGTTTGACGGAGGTTCCATTGGAGTTCGTGACTGTTATTTAAACTAAAGAACCTAAGGTAAATTATAAACGATAATAAAAGTTTACTAAGGAAATTATGATACAAAAACTACACACATTTGAGAGTCCATTAATGGGATTTAGGAAGGGTTGACTAGGTACAGACCCAACGTCTGTCATTATTTACACATAGTGTTTGTCCAGACGTTCGAACCCACAATCTCGAAGCCTTCGAACTTAGCAATCTAGCTATATCAGAATTTTTAACTTGTAATAGTAATTTGTCATCAAACACGAGTAATTTAGCTATTTCAGAATTTTTAATTTAGCAATCTAGCTATATCAGAATTTTTAACTTGTAATAATTGTGCGTGCAAGATCCTGCACAATATAAAAAACGAGAACAGATCTCTTCCTTGGTGAACTTCGAGTGAGCCGGTTGAGTGACCAAACACGTTGCTTGGAACAGCCTGCGAGGTCCGGTGGTAACCTGGAACGGTAATGGGAGACCCTGGGAACGGAAGAACGATCCAGTAAGGTTGAAAGAGGTTCCTGGAACAAAGAAGAACAAGTTAGAAGGGCGCCGGAGTGTTTTCCGGCGTATCCCCTCCGACGATCTAGTCAGTCTTTGAGAAAGAGAGAGGAAGGAGAAAACACTGAGTATTGTAGTAAAGAGTTTTTTGTTGCATACCCGTCTTGCCTTTTGCAAGGAGTATTTATACCTTAAAAGCTCATGATTGTTGTCAGTGTAGTCAGTAGATGATCATTAGGTACAGGCAGTGTGTGCACTGATTCTGATGAGGAATGTCTTCTCTTCTTAACTGCTCGGGGTCCCGAGCAATCAATGTTGGGTCATCGGGATACCGACGGTACAATGTACTACTCTCGGGGAGGATGCAATAAATGCTCTGTATTAGGAGCATTTATTATCTTTCATTTCCGAGCCTTACCGCATTGAATGCGGTCTCATCAAAGGAATGGTGTAATTAATAGTTTGCTTTCCCAAGTCACGTGTCAGCAACGGCATGCGGTTTCTCTATCTTCGATGTGATATCATATGCCACACGTCTATCCCTTATTGGATGTGACCTCTGCAATCCAGTACATTCTGACACTAATTGTGTAAGACGAGGTCATGATGAATAGTCTAGACTAGCCTAGGCTAATGACCTGTACGTCAATAGCTTATCCTGGAGTAGAGGAAGCGTCCAGGACGGGGTACCTCTCGGCACCGAGGAAAGGATCATCTCGGTACCGAGGGAGGTATGCCGACCGAGGTACCATATCAGACCGAGGCCACGTGTCGGTTGTAAAACATACTGAATGCATGATCCTATATGATGGGTACCTCGGGGGCGAGGACCTTGTGCGCCGATGATGCTTGATCTTAGCAACAGTGTTTTGGTAATACCGATGACACGTGTCTTCATCATGGAGCATTTCAGAAAAGTCTCATCAATAATAATTTGTCATAAAACATGACCTACATATATAAAGAGTGTATTAGATAGTAAGGAGAAATGCATCTGCAATTTGGTTGCCATAAAATGCCACTATTGATTCTCTTGTTTATGTTATAAAAATGCTTCAGTCATCATTGATTTATGGCCAGCATAGTGTTCTTGAGCAGTTTATATAGTGGAGGTCACACCAGTAGCACGGCCTTGATGGTCACCTGTGAAGCAAATAGCTAATTGGAGAGCCCCAGTTTATTGTCAACCTAAGATTTTTCGACGTTCAAGCTCCTGGGTTTTCTAATCTCAAAATTTGCAGCGACGAAAAAGAATATATAAGGGCTGCAAGCACATACAACATAGGCAAGTATGACATATCTTTTCTATTTTTTTGGCAGAAATGTATCACTCAATATAAGGACTCGTCCAGTGATAGTTTGGGAGGTAACATAGGAGCACTGTTTTCAATTGTAAAATCCTTTTATGCAACAGATTTTCCTCGTAAGCGGTGCCTTGATTGTTGTAGTTTTTCAGGGTGTGATTGATTTGAGTATGAAGATGTGAGATCGATTCAAATTAATCATATGTCCGCGTAATATCAACTTTGATTCGTCCCAGGCTTAATTGAATTTTCCTAATCCACGATGCCCCGGTCTATGTTACATCTATCACCAGTTTCATGGGATTACTGAGGTGGTATAATTATTTGACCGATTGGTGTTAACGTGAATTTGATTTTTTTTTTCCCCTAAATTTCCGGATTCACAGTATTTCTCAACCCCTTATGTATCATTTGTGAGGCGGTTTTGTTGTTTTTCAGGTAATACGATACATTATTCCTTAATCTAAACATGAGATTGCTATTAAAACTCTTGACTTAAACTTCTCCCAACCTCAATCAAACATGAAGTACGTGAGATACAATAATAAACTTGACTGATTATTCCTGCTGGAGGAGATTGAATAAGATGGGATAGTCCAATATTTGTTTGGATCGCGGTTTTAAAGGTGAATAATTATGATAAGATAAGATAAAAATATGTGGGGTTCATATATTCTATGTTTGGTAAGTAAGAAATCTCATTCGGATTTTATCCTGACCCATTTTAAAAAGTCAACTTTAACCCACCTACATTGGTTAAATGAAACCCAAGAGAGGCTTGAGATATTTTTTTGCCGGACAAGATATGTAATTCAATTTATGAATATGCCCACCCAAAGGTCAGGAGATCTCCTTGGTTAATTTTTTAAATATTTTATGTTGTTAACTTGAATAGTTGATAAAGTGTATTTTTTATGGTTACAATATATTTGAAAACTAGTTATTATTTGTGCCTAAAGGCACAAAATAATAAAAAATTGTAAACAATAAACATATTTGTATTTATATCCAAAATCAAATCACAAACATAAAGAAGAGATAAAGGAATTTAAGAATCGGTTTGTAGTGAGGGTGAGAGGTGATGAGCGACAGTAGTGGTGGTAGAAGATGGTGATGGTTATGGTGGGTAGCAATGACCGTGGTGGCAACGAAGTTGGTGGTAGTGGTGGTGGGGTGGGTAAGGGTGCAGTGGCAGTGGTAGCAATGAGGGTGGCAGTGGTGGTGATGATGGCAACGGTGGTGGTGGTGGCGACGGCAACGACAATGGTGGTGATGGTGGTGGCGGCGATGGCAGGAGCGACGACGGTGGCAGATGGTGGTGGGGGTAGACGTAGTGGTGAGCCGATTTCAAACACTATTTTTTAAAAAATATTTATAAAAAATAATTTCTACAAGTATTTATAAAAAATCTCTCCAAACATACCCTTAAGGATCTATTTTTCCTATTAAATTTAGGGTGTTAATATTAGTCGTTAGATTAACTTTAAAATAAAATTTAAAACAATCTTAACCGCAAATAGTAAAAGTCATTTTATTTATTTTTTGAGATTTGAATTGTAAGTTACTTTATTATATCGATATTTATTTTATATTTGAATGAATTGTTAAAAAAATAAGATGTGAGAGTGTATTTTTTTTTATTTGGAATGAGTTGTAGGCAAATTTATAAATCAAACATGATGTTAAATTTGATAAAATATAGATATAATAGTCAATAAAAATAAATTACATCACTCTTATCTATGAGCCCCACACAAATGTATAATTTACCCAAACTAGAGAAGAGACTGGACATACCAATTTATATTATATCCGGATGATAATTGGGTGAGTTTAAATTGAATAGAAAAAAATATCTTTTTAGATATTCAATCCACTCTAACCCTTAAGTTTGGACCTTAGCTCGGCGAGTACTCACCCTTCGTTCTGCTAAATTTCTAACTAGGTTGTTTCTTGTACTTGATCACAAATGCCCCTCCAGCAGTCATTTTGCACTCATTCTCTGGATTTAAATTTTAATTCAAACAACACATGGACCTCTAGCTAAGTCCCCAATATATTCCCAAAAGAACCATGTGCATGTACATTAGTGCTTCTTCATTAGATTGTTCTATGGGTCATTTGGTTGTAATATCAAGAGGTTGATTCTGAAATTGTGATACATTAAAACTCTCTAATTTAACTTTATGTTATATTATTTGGTTGCCAAAAATACTGAGTATAATGTATAGACATTTTTCATATACATCACTAGCTACAAGAATTAGGGTCTTTAAAACAAGTTTTTTGTAGCCGTTGTTGCAATCACCGTCAAAAAAAAAAATCATGTTTTGAAGGAAAAAATATTTTAGTGGTGGTAATGTTGTCATAAAAGAGTTTTTTGCTGCCGCAAATATAATTGGAGACAGTGCATTTCTATCATCAAGATTTTTTGAAACTCCACTTATTATGGTGGCCAACGTCGCCACAATGGCTGCCATATAATAAGTGAAGTTTCAAAAAGTCTTTATGACAACGGCCCGCCTCAAATGGTATTTGAGATAACAAATAAATTTTTTGTGATAATCCTATTGCTACAAAAACTTTTTTTTCCTTCAAAATCACGTTTTTTATACAAAAAATTGCCTCAAAATACCTTAATTCTTGTAGTGCATATAAAATACATAGACAAATAGTATGTTTTACTCGTGCTATTGAACCGATTTTAATTCCACATAAATAAGTAATATTATAATTTAGTTTTATTGTACTATGTTATAAATTTACTATTTTGTCCGCAAAATAAACAAAAACATTGATAACTAAACTAGATTAATGGTTTTGTGGGTCAATATGTAATTAGTATATGGGATGAGTGAACTAATCAACCGTAAGTTTGGATTGGATACCAAACACTGGATTATGA